TTGGAAAAGCCCTCCCAAGATCATCCAGTCCAAGCATTAACCACACTCAGCACTAAACGGTGTCCCCACAGGCCAAGATGTGTCTTCTTGGACGTGGCTGGGCAGAAATTGTTGACTTCCAGGGAGATTCTTTGTGGATTTAGGTGGAATTTGTGCCAGTTTGGGGTAGATGGTGACCTGACCCGACCAGTGGATCTACAAACTTCAGAATTTCATGGTTTTTAATTTGGTTTCTTAGGCAGGAGCGGGTGTGAAAAACAAGAGCTTTATTTTCCTGTCTTCTGCTTGTTCTGTTCTTTCTCTTTCATAGAATCATGGAATGGTTTGGGTTGGAAGGGACCTTAAAGATCACCTAGTTCCACCTCCAGCCACGAGCAGGGACACCTTCCACTATCCCAGGTTGCTCCGAGAACCATCCAAGCTGGCCTGGAACACTTCCAGGGCTGGAGCATGATACTGAATCCCAAACTAAGTCTTCTATTCACTACAAATAACTGGATTTGGGGCAAGAAGGGTTCACAGCTTCTCTGGGCAACCTGTGCCAGGACCTCCCCACCTTCCCAGGGAAGAATTTCTTCCCAATATCCCATCTAAACCTACTCTTTTCAGCTTGAAGCCATTCCCCCTTGTCCTGCCGCCCCAGTTCCTGCTGTGAGGTTTCTGTAGCCTTTGTCCTGTCTCCTTTCCCCCAGACAACCTTCCTGAACAAACATCTCCAGCACCTGATGGATGGTTTGACGGCCAAGGTGTTCAGGACCTACAACGCCTCCATCACCCTGCAGGAGCAGCTCAAGGCCCTCACCAACTGTGAGTTGCACTCTGGTTGGGCTCTCACCAGCTGCTTCACGTGGCCAGTGGGCTCAGAAATGTCCACTGGGGTCCCAAGAACTGTCTCCCCCCCCCTTGGCACTACCTTGTAGGGCAGGATGTAACTTATGGGATTGCAGCACTTCCGGGGCAGCAGGTTGGGAACCACGGTGAGAAATAGTTAACTCAGTAATACTCTGACTAATTTCAAGCCAAGGTGGGACTGTTTGTCTCCCCCTTCCTTGTTTTGCTGGTTGGTTGCACCATTATTACCTCCTGGGGCACATGGGTCATGAGTCTCAGCAGCAGAGATTGTGATGCTCGGTTGTCCTTCCCCAATTCCCTTATCGCTCTCCCTGGAGAAAGGATGGGAAAGGCAAATGCCTTGCTGTTGTTCTGCCTTCCCTAAACCCCAGGAAAGAGCCTGAGTGATGCTTTCATTTATTCCCAGCTGAGGACAACGTTGCTGGGAAGCTCCTCTCCTACAACCGAGCCAACCGCGCTGTGGCCGTGCTGTGCAACCATCAGAGGTCTGTGCCCAAAACCTTTGCCAAATCCATGGAAATCCTGCAGACCAAGGTGAGAAAGAGACCAAGTTGAGAGCCCTCAGGCCTGATCTCAGTCTCTGAGTTTTATTTTTGGGATGGGGGGGAGAAGGTGATGCCCAAAGATCAAGTTGATGAAGCTCATCGGGGAATGAAGTGGGAATAGTGGAGCTTAATCAGTGCAGAGCCATCAGTGCCCAGGGTGGAGAGGGATGGGATAAGATCCAGGGTCAAATGCAGGATGAAGCTCACTTGGCACAGAATTTGGGTGGGTTTTTGTGGTTTTGGTCTGTTTTCATCACTTAATGCCTGCAAACCAAGCTCTTTGTGATGCCACAACTCTGGCACAGCTGGCTCAGGACCGGGGAAACAGGTTTTCCTGTCCTGACTGCAGGAGGATCAGCTGGAAATTCCATGGATCTGCTCTGGAAATGCCTCAAATTACCACTTGTTATTGTCCTCAGCTTTTGCTCACACTCCCCTGAGGGACTGGGACTGTCACAAACCAGTTGGTCTCAGGCAATGACACAAGATGAACGGATTTAGGAGCTCCAAGTGTTTCTGGAATCTCTTGGCAAGATTCAAAGTAATGCTTGAGCCCAGCAGGTGCTGCAGCGACAGGTTTTTGGGACTGGGGTAGGGCTGGTAAGAAATTAGGGAATGGTGTGGGAAGGGGAAAAGGGAGGCAGCTGAAACCTCCAGGAAAGACAGGAGTGTGGTCTGACTTTCTTTTCATCTTCCCAGATCGATGCCAAGAAGAAACAGGTGGAGGAAGCCCAGCAAGAGCTGAAAAAAGCTGAAGATGAGTTGGAAGACTCAAAAGATGCCAAAGCAGAAGCGTGAGTGGCTCTTCCTTGGAATCCTGTCTTGCAGGGGGATTCTCTGCACGGAGAGCCCGTGGGTGGGGATGCTTTGGTCCAACACCCTCCTGGCAGTTCAGGAGAACAGGAATGCCCATGGTGGGGGGTATCAGGTGCCTCTTGGCCCATGGAAGTCTGGAAGATGGTATTAGATCATGTGGATGGTTCCTTCCACTAGAGCAGGTTGCTCCAAGAACCATCCAACCCCGCCTGGAACACTTCCAGGGATGGGACAGCCACGGCTTCTCCGGGTAACCCATTCCAAGGTTTTGAGGGTGATGGTCTCTGGATGTTGGATTTTGTGTCTGCCCATCTTTGGTGGTGGGAATGATATTATTTTATATAAAAATAAAAGGCATCTTACCAGGTCAAAGTCCTGGAGAAATAAGTCAAGATTCTTTTGATTCTTCCATTCTGGAATATTTCTAAGCTTAGGCCTTTCCTCTGTGTTTTTTTCTTCCTGTGCCCTCAGGAATGTGAAGAAGAAGAAGAAGCTGCTGAAGAGGCTGGAGGAGCAGCTGGCCAGGCTGAATGTCCAGGCCACAGATAAGGAGGAGAACAAGCAGATAGCTCTGGGCACTTCCAAGCTCAATTACCTGGATCCCAGGATTAGCATTGCTTGGTAAATCTTGAATGTGCAGTCATGGAATGGTTTGAGTTGGAAGGGACCTTGAAGCTCACCCGGTTCCAACCCCCTGCCATGGGCAGGAACACCTTGCACTGTCCCAGGTTGCTCCAAGCCCCGTCCAACCTGGCCTTGGACACTTCCAGGGATGGGGCATGACAGTGGATCCCAAATTATGGCTTCCACTTGATATAAATAACTGGATTTAGGGTGAGAGGGGGTCACTTGGCAAGTCTTCAACAGTGAGTTATTTGCTTAAGGAACTTGGGTTGGAGATGCTGCACCTGGAGTGGGGAGGACACTGAATCCCAGAATCCCAGAATCACTGAGGTTGGAAAAGACCTCCAAGATCATCAAATCCAACCTGTGATCCATCTCCACCTTGTCCCCCAGCCCAGAGCACTGAGTGCCATGTCCAGGCCTTCCTTGGACACCTCCAGGGATGGGGACTCCAAACCTCCCTGGGCATCCCATTCCAGTGCTTGACGACCCTTTCCATGAAGAAATTCCTCCTGATGTCCAACCTGACCCTCCCCTGGTGCATCTTGAGGCCGTTTCCTCTTGTCCTGTCCCTTGTTCCCTGGGAGCAGAGCCCAACCCCCCCAGCTCCTCCCTCCTCTCAGGGAATTGCAGAGATCCAGAAGGTCCCCCCTGAGCCTCCTTTTCTCCACGCTGAACCCCCCCAGCTCCCTCAGCTGCTCCTCATTTATTCTCCAGACCTTCCCCATCTCCATTCCCTTCCCTGGACACGCTCCAGCCCCTCAATGTCTTCCTTGTCACAAGAGGCCCAAAACCCACCCCAGGATCTGAAGTGTGGCCTCTCCTGTGCCCAGCACAGGGGGACAATCCCTGCCCTGCTCCTGCTGGTCACATTATTTCTGATCCAAGCCAGGTGCCACTGTCCTTCTTGGCCACCTGGGCACACCTGGCTCGTGTCCACGAGCATCTCCAGGTCTCTGCCCCTCCAGCCTGGAGCACTCGGGGGGGTGGGTCATTGGGCCTGGGGAGTGTTGGAACATCTCCCTGAGGTGGGAGGTACCAAACACACCCCGTGTCTTGTGCTCCTCACAGGTGCAAGAAGTTCGGGGTGCCCATCGAGAAGATCTACAACAAGACCCAGAGGGAGAAGTTCGCCTGGGCCATCGCCATGGCCAACGAGGACTTTGAGTTCTGAGCCCGCTTCCACCTTCAGTCCTTCATCTGGTGCTGCTAGAAAGCTTCTTTTATTTTTTCCCTGCTGCTGCAGGGGGCTGAGGGGTTGTCCAGGAGAAGAATTTGATGCCTTTTTTGTAGACAGAAGAAAACCTCTGGTTTCTTTTTGAGGGGGTTTTGCTGATTGTGACCCTCGCCCTGAGTGACTTTGAGGGAGCTCCTGATTCATCCTCGGAGCTGCCAAGTGCTTGGGATTTTGTTTTTCTTTTTTTTCCTTTGTGAAGAAGATTAAATGAGAACCTTAACTGTGCTGATAAACAAGCTCTAGTTTAATCCTGTCTCCTTGATGTGGTTGGAGCCCTTTTTGAATTGGCTGGGTGGGAAATACGAGGTGGTGACAGTGCCAGAACAGGTTTGAGCTGTTCTGTCAGACCCGGGCTTGGATTGGGGGTGAAATGAGAGGGAGGGGAAAATCTCAGAGTTCTACATTTCAGGGGGTTTTGTGCCCTTTCACCTCCAGGAGAGGAGAAAGTTTTGCAGGTGCAAGGATGTGAAATGAAAAAATGTGGGAGGGAGGAGAAGGATCCTGGATTAAAAAGCAGCTTCATGTTGCAGGGGGATAAAATTCACCTTGGCACGAGCCAAGTGTACTCTAACCACCCCTAGGTGGGTGAATCTTGGTCTGGGAGAGAACATCTCACTTGGGAATGTGGGAGTTTTTTTTATCCCAAATTCCTTCAGTTGGCTCTGTCTCAGTTTCTCTGGGGCACAAACGTAAACTGCCCGGGCACGGATTTAGGGAATGGGTCATTTCCTAGAAAACAGGCAGTAAGGAAAGATGATGCTGGGCCAGACTCTTGAGTGTGCTGGAGGAGGTGGTACCAACCTTCCTGGAGCTCTTCCTGTGTTGGGATGACATTCCAACTGCTGCAGGGACCGACGGCACCGACCGCTCGTGCTGCTTTTCACCTAATTAGCTGGTTTTAGACCTAAAAAAAAAGTGATCCCAGCATGTCCCTGGCAACATTCCCACATCCCAGCACCTCCCAGGTGTGAACAAGCTGTTGGATTGGCAGCAAAAGCCTTCTGGCACCTCAGGGCTGATGTTCAGGTTGCTCCAGTGCAAAGCTCCTGGTGCTTCCCACGTGTTCTTGTGTTTAAGCTGTCACTGTTTTGGTTGGGAATTTGGGGTTTTAAATGCATTTCTTTAAAACTAGGAGTGTTTTTTTTTCTGGGAATCAGTGACTTGAGGATTTTTGGAGTTTGTCAAGGGTGTGGTTCTGCTGAGATGATGTTCCTTGAGCCCTGTGTTGGGGTCGGGAGCTCTGAGACACAAGGAACCAGTTCGGTCCCAGTGGATGGGAGATGGTTTTCTGCCCACCTTGAAGTGCTTTCTGGCTTTTCAAAGAGGTTAAACTGAATATTTGTCATGAAGCGGGATGGAAAGTTTTTATTCCATCCCAGATGGATGCTTAGAGAAGCTGTGGCTGCCCCATCCCTGGAATTGTTCAGGTTAGACAGGACTTGGAGCAGCCTGGGGCAGTGGAAGGTGTCCCTGCCTATAACAGGGGTTTGGAACTGGATGAGCTTTAAGGTTCCTTTCAATCCAAACCATTCTGTGATTCTCTAAAATAAGGACATAATTCCTGTTAAGTCCCCACAAAACCAGTGCTCCTGTCTCCCAGGAGCAGGAAAAAGAGGAGCAAGATGCAGTGGGATGAGCACTGGGGATGTCTCCGTATCACTGTGGATGTTCCCACCCAACCAGTAGATTTATTAATTCTTTTTTTAGAATTTCCTACAGGAAAAAAGGTCTCTAGAACATCATGTGAGAGAAGAGCTGCTCAGGAGCAGGATGGTGTCCTCACCACACACCCCTGAGAGCAGGATCCCTCTCCCAGGGGAGAGGGTTATTTGTTGACTCCCAGTTTAACCCTGGGAAGCCATTCCCTGTGTCCTGTCCCTCCATCCCTTGTCCCAAGTCCCTCTCCAGCTCTCCTGGAGCCCCTTTAGGCCCTGCAAGGGACTCTCAGGTCTCCCTGGAGCCTTCTCTTCTCTAAGTGAACATTCCCAGCTCTCCCAGCCTGGCTCCAGAGCAGAGGGGCTCCAGCCCTTGGAGCATCTCCGTGGCCTCCTCTGGACCTGCTCCAGCAGCTCCAGATCCTTGTGCTGATGATCCCAGAGCTGGATGCAGAACTCCAGCTCTGGTGCCCCGATATAAGGATGGTTTGAGGGTGTCCAAAGTCTCTCCCCATAGAAGTTCTTTGAGCAGCTGGAGGCTCCAGAGGGGCTCAATCCCTTCCTGGTGCTTCTCCATAAGCATCCTGGAGCCACGGGAACATAAATCCCCGGGACAGAGCCGTGGACAGTGGGAAATTTCCCACATGGTGCTCTTTCCTGGGAATGCTGTGGGGGCAACACATGATCCTCAAGGATGAAAATTGTGCATCCTTTTTCCCAGAGCCACTTTCCATAGCCTGGCCTTGGAAACACCATTCCCTGGGGATGATCTGAGTCGTGGAATTCTTTAGCTTGGAAAACACCTTTAAGTTCCTCCAATCCAACCTTTCCCTGCCGTGTTCACCATCACACCAAGTCCCCAAGTGCTGCTTTTCCAAGCCTTTTAAATCCCTCCATTGGGAATTGAGGGGTTTTTTTGAGAGATACCAGATGGTTTTAGGTCTTGGAGAGCTCAGGTGGAGGCTCATCCCTACAGTATTCCAACCTGGGTTCCCAAGGGGCTGATTATTCCAGGGTCTTGCTATTCCCAGGCTGGAATTGAGGGGTTTTTTTGAGGGATACCAGGTGGTTTTTGGTCTTCGTGAGCTCAAGGGGAGACTCATCCCTGCAGGATCCCAGCCTGGGTTCTCAGGAGGCTGAGTATTCCAGGTTCCCGCTGTTCCCATGCTGGAATTGAGGTGTTTTTTGAGGGATACCAGGTGGTTTTAGGTCTTAGAACTTCATCAGTGAGCTCATCCCTGCCACATTCCAGCTTGGATTCTTGGAGGGCTGCGCTGCTGGGAGTATTCCAGGTTCCTGCTCTTCCCATGCTGGAATTGAGGTGTTTTTTTTAGGGATACCAGGGGGATTTAGGTCTTGGTGAGCTCAGGTGGAGGCTTATCCCTCCAGGATTCCAGCCTGGGTTCCCAGGGGGGCTGATTATCCCAGGTTCCTGCTCTTCCTATGCTGGAATTGAGGGGTTTTTTGAGGGATAGAAGGTGGTTTTAGGTCTTAGAATTTCATTGGTGAGCTCAGGTGGAGGCTCATCCCTACAGAATTCCAGCCTGGGTTCCCGGGGAGGCTGATTATTCCAGGTTATTGCTCTTCCCATGCTGGAATTGAGGGTTCCTTGGGGGAAGGACAGTCGTGGGCTCTTTCATCTGCTCAGGGATGGGTTCTTCCTACGGAGGAGCTGCAGAGAGACGAGTTTTTGGCTGATTCATCCCAGCTGGTGCCGAGAGAGGAGTGGGTGGGATGACAACTCCTCCTGCTGGATCTGCTCCCTGGGGAAGGGAGGGTTGGAAAACAAACCAGTGGGATCTGGCAGACGCTGAGAGGTGGGAAAAGCCCCGTGAGGGTTTGAGGGAGAGCAAGGGGAAGGCTTTCCAGAGGGTTCTTTCTCCTCTTGCCTTCTTCCCAGAAGGGTCTGATGTCACAAAAAAATGAAAAAAAAAGAAAAAATAATAGGGGAAAAATGGACCAGAAACTTCCAAGTGGGATGTTTTTTATCGGTCTGAGAGGAAAGGGATGAGAAAACATTTGAGTTGTCACTGCTGTGGTTCAGAGTCTGTCTCTGAACTCATGAATTTCCTTTCCCAACATGTTTTAGAGGCAGACAGGAGCGTGTCTGTGGTTTGGCATCGATAAAATATGTGTTTAAGGAGCTCCCTGCGTTTATTTTGTCCCTCAGCCAAGATCAGCCTGATGTAAAACAAACCCAAATTGGAGAGACGTCCCCCTGTGCCACGTGCCTGGAAGTGCAGCTCTGCCGGTGATCCCAGGGAAGCAAACAATTAACCCGGGAGAAATTGGATCCCTGGGATAAACCCAAGGACTGGCTAAGGAGGGGCAGGGGAAAGGCTTCCAAGGAAGGATCCAACTCCAGGATATCAGGTTTGTGCCCTGTGAAGGAGAACTGACACTTGCTGTGGGCTCAGGAAGGAGGTGGCTGCACATCCAGGGTATCCCACTGGGAATGAGAGGATAACACACAGCCTGGCTCTTCCTAAAGTTGCTTTTTTAGCCCTAACAGGGATGTTTTTGTCCAATGATTATTTAAATCAAAATAAAGACTCAAGAAGGGCTTGGCTGAGCTTGTCTCAGGCTCCAAGAATGGCTTCTCCAGGCCTTAATCCTGAGCCTCTGCAAGCTGGGACATGAGAAATCCCAATAAATTACTTAGTTAATATTCTTAATCCGGGTCTGGATTAAGCTGCAGTTATGATTGATTAGCTTGGCTGAGAAAGAAGCCTTTGGATAAGTTGCTCTCCCAGCTGCCATGAGCCTGGAAAGAGAGGGATCATGGAATCATAGAATGGTTTGGGTTGGAAGGGAGCTGAAAAATCATTGTCTTCCAACCCCCTGCCATGGGCAGGGACACCTTCCACTAGCCCAGGTTGCTCCAGCCTGGCCTTGGACACTTCCAGGGATGGGGCAGCCACAGCTTCTTTGGGAATTCCATCCCAGCCCCTCCCCACCCTCCCAGCCAAAAATTCCTTCCCTATATCCCACCTAACCCTGCCCTCTGGCAGTGGGAAGCCATTCCCTCTGTCCTAGTGATCTGTGGGTGCAAAGAATTCCTCTTCCATGTGATGTGAGCTCCCTGCGGAGCTTCCAGAGGTTCCCAGGGATTGCCCCGTGCTGCAGGAGGCAGACAGCTGATGCCTTCCCAAAAAAAATGCCGTGATTCCAGCTGGGTGGTGGCACTTGGGGTGCCCCTCCCTTGCCAACAGGGCAGGAGCTTTTCCTGCCAAGGTGGGAGAGACAAGGAAGTCTCTCCTCCTACCCCAGAGGTCACTTAGAGCCGAATGAGCTCATGGATTTGGGGTTTTTGTTTGGGTTTTAAAGCTGTTCTGTGTCATCTCTCCCACCTATTTCTCAAGCTTTAAGTGGACTCTTTAACCCCTCAAGGCTTGGTTTGCCCAAGTGGGCCGGAATGGGGTGGTAATTACCTCCAACAGCTTTAATTAGTGCTCCTGGTTCATCCTTGGGGGTCCCCCAGGCAGGAACAGATCCCGACTTCCCACAGTTCATTCCTGGTGCTGGAAGCACCACTTGGGTTGGAGGGAGGACCTGGAGGGGTTAAATCTCCCCTTCCACCCCTCTCCTGAGCATCCTTGAATCCCACATTGTCTCCAGTTCTTTATTCAGAAGGATTTCTGACAAAACCAGGCCTGGCAGGAACTCAGGTGCCCTGAAGAAGAAAATCTGGTGCTGGGGGGGAGATTTGAGGGGGGTGAGGGGACATTTGAAGGGAGTGAGGGGACATTTGAGGGGGGTGAGGTGACATTTGAAGGGATGAGGAGACATTTGAAGGGGCTGAGGGGGGATTTGAAGGAGGTGAGGGGATGTGAACTGGACCCAGAAGTTCTGACCACTCTTCCTTGCCCAGGAACTTTTCAGAATCCTGTTTTTTTTAATTGGCCTTCTCCTCCTTCTCCCGTGGGATCCTATACTGAATCACACAGCCATGATTTAGTTCCATTTTCCTTTTATTTCCTTCTTCTTTATTATTTTTCTTTCTATTATCACCTTTCAAAGAACTTCCACAAGGGCTGTGCTGGGTCATCCTCGGAGTCCCTTCCTGTGTGCTGGGGGAAAAACAAAATAACAACACAAAAGTGACAAAACCGAGAGATTTAATTCCAAAAATAGAACAGGGAAGAGCTTGGTCCAGTTTTTCCTTTTTGAAAGTCCAAGACAGGGTTGTTTTTTATCCTGTGCTGCTTTAATTGGATGTTGTCTTCGGGGTAATTCTTTTTCCCAAAAATCCCATTTGTAGCACAGGATCCAGCTCTGGGGTTTCCCAGAATAAGAAGGATGTGGAGCTGCTGGAGCAGGTCCAGAGGAGGCCACGGAGATGCTCCAAAGGCTGGAGCCCCTCTGCTCTGGAGCCAGGCTGGGAGAGCTGGGAATGTCCAACCTGGAGAAGAGAAGGCTCCAGGGAGACCTGAGAGCTCCTTCCAAGGGCCTAAAGGGGCTCCAGGAGAGCTGGAGAGGGATTTGGGACAAGGGATGGAGGGACAGGACACAGGGAATGGCTTCCCACTGCCAGAGGGTTAGACGGGATATTGGGAAGGAATTCTTGGTTGGGAGGGTGGGGAGGGTCTGGAATGGAATTCCCAGAGAAGCTGTGGCTGCCCCATCCCTGGAAGTGTCCAAGGCCAGGTTGGAGTAACCTGGGATAGCAGGAGGTATTCCTGCCCATGGAATGAGATGGTTTTTAAGGTCCCTTCCAAATCATCCTGGGATTTTGATGGACTCTCAGCTTTCTCCCAAGTTTGTAAAACCTCTGGATTGAGCCTGGTTGGACTGGCTCTGACTGAGCTCCTCTTGAGCTGCCTGAGGGTTTATTTTTTTAATCTTGGCTGAGTGGGAAGAGCAATTTTTCAAATTAACCGAGTGTTTCTGGCTCATCTGCTGGACTTTTGGGCATCTTTGTGTTGAGGGGCCGTAGATTTATAGAAATAGCAAAAACCAAGCTATAATTCCCTGCAAAATGAGATATTTGTCACTCTGACCCAAGGACAGAGAGAAGAGGAGTGGAGTGGAGATGTGGGATGTGGAGAGGAGGGAGGGATGGGGTGATGGGATGGGGCTTGGGATGGAACTGGAGGTCCCTTGGCTGGAAATTGTTCACTCAGCTGAAGAATTGAAGAGCTGGAGCTGAACTGGGCTGGGTTTAGGGATAATAAACAGGGAAAAAAGGAGCGCCTGACACATGGAAAATCACGGCCTGGGGTAAATTGAGATGTAACAAAGGGCTGCAGAGCAGTTAAAATCAGTTAAATAATCAGTTAAAATCAGTTAAAATCAGTTAAAAAATCAGTTAAAATCAGTAAAAAATCAGTTAAAAAATCAGTTAAAAAATCAGTTAAAAATCAGTTAAAATCAGTTAAAAAATCAGTTAAGAATCAGTTAAAAAAATCAGTTAAAAAAATCAGTTAAAAAAATCAGTTAAAAAAATCAGTTAAAAAAATCAGTTAAAAAAATCAGTTAAAAAAGCATTAAAAAAAAAAGAGACAAAATTCATAAACACAATTGGAGTCCTCTCATCCATTTTGCTTCCATCAGAACCCTAATTTTCCAGGTTTACCCTTTTTTATGTGCTTTGGGTTCTGGAATCGTCTCTCCCATGATGGGCTTGAAAATGATCCTCAGCACTGACACCCAAGAGCTGGAATTCCCAAGGGTGAGGGAAAGCTGAGAAGAAAATGAGATAAATAAGTTTTTCTCTCTGTGAAAAGGTGTGAGGAGCTCCCTGGACAACCTTTGTGCTTTTCCCAGCATCACAGAATGGTTTGGGTTGGAAGGGATCCTAAAGATCATGGAATTCCAACCCTCTGCCACGGGATATATTTAATTTCCAGCTCACTGGATGTATTTATATTTATGTAATATATGTTATATATCATTTATATTTATGTATTGGAGGTATATATATATTTATATTGGATATATTTAATTTCCAGCTCACTGGATATATTTATAATTATATAATATATATAATACATAATTTATACTTCTGTATTGGATATATATACACATATTTATTTATATTGAATATATAACCTTCCACTATCCCAGAATGCTCCAATCTGGCCTTGGACACTTCCAGGGATGGAGCAGCCACAGCTTCTCTGGGATTTCTATTCCAGCACTTCACCACCCTCCCAGGGAAGAATTTCTTCCCAGTGTCTCATCCTAACATTCCCTCAGCATCCAGATAAAATAATTCCAAGATGTTTGTTATTTATTCTCTTTTTTTTTTTTTTTTTTTTTTTTATGGAGAGCTGACTCACAGCAGGGTTTGGAACAGGTTGTTCATGGAAATACAAATTGAGGTGAATTTGTAGGAGGAGGATCCAATCCAGCCCTAGATCTGAATGTGTCCCTCAGTGTTTCAGGCAGGCAGAGATTCCTGAAACTTTATAGGAGACAAAAAAAGCCTGGAAAAATAATGCGTTTGGATTCCTAATGGTATTGTTCTAGTTTGGTCTTGATAAGATCACGGGGAAGGAAAATCAGGGAACAAAACACCCTGGGACACTTCCTGGCCGTGGAGTCAACTGGTGACTCTCCAGGAAAGGATTTCTCTCCCTCTAAAATAAGAAGGAGGAATCCAAAATCCCGACTGGAAAGCAGAGATGGGACTTTCAGGGACAGTCAGGTCAAAAGAGTGTGAAGAATGAAACAGTGTGGGCAGTTGTGGGGCTGGGCATGGATTTTCCATGTGTTATGGATATGGACATAACTGGCTCCAGGAGAGATCCTCTGTGGTGTCATTCCAGCCCCAGGGCAGCTGGAAACATCCTCTGGATGTGGTGACATCCTCTGGAGCTTCTCACCACTTGGATACACCTATTAATGTATGATTACAGGTATAATCTTTTAGCTGACTTAATCCAGACCCAGCCAGGATTTGGGCAATCCAGGAGTTCCAGAGACACCCTGAAATCAGGGAATCCTCCTAACCAGAGGTCTGGGATGGCCCTGGGGCACCATTTCCCTGCTCTGCTTGAAAAGAGGAAGCCAAAGGGCAGGTTCCCAGGAGGATTTCAACACCTTGGTGTGATCTGGCCCATGCTTGGATCCTGACCTGGAGCATCTCTTCCCCACAGGGGCACCCTGTGCTGGGTTAGGAACTGGCTGGAGGGCTGGGCCCAGAGAGTGGTGGGGATGGAGCTGCATCCAGTTGGGATCCGGTCACCAGTGGTGTCCCCAGGGATCAGTGCTGGGCCCAGTCCTGTTTAATGTCTTTATTGGTGATTTAGATGAGGGGATCAAGTGAACCATCAGCAAATTTGCAGATGACACCAAGCTGGGGAGGAGTGTTGATCTGCTGGAAGGCAGGAGGGCTCTGCAGAGGGACCTGGATAGGTTGGAGAGTTGAG